AAGAAATAGAAGAAGACACAAAGAAATGGAAAGACATCCCCTGCTCATGGATTGGAAGAATAAACATTATTAAAATGGCCATCCTACCAAAAGCAATATACAGATTCAATGCTATTCCAATCAAAATCTCAATGGCATTCTTCAAAGAAATAGAACAATTATTGATGAAATTCATATGGAATCACCAAAAACCCCGAATAGCCAAAGCTTTACTGAAAAAAAAAGAAGTAAATGGAGGCATCACACTCCCAGACTTCAAACTATACTACAAAGCCATAATCATCAAAACTGCATGGTATTGGAACAAGAACAGACATACAGACCAATGGAATCGAATAGAAAATCCAGAAATAAACCCACAGATTTATGGTCAACTAATCTTTGACAAAGGAGCAAAGACTATGCATTGGAGCAAAGAAAGTTTGTTCAATAAATGGTGCTGGGAAAACTGGGTCGCTACATGCAAAAGAATGAAGCTTGACCACTACCTCACACCATACACAAAAATCAACTCAAAATGGATTAAAGAACTAGACATAAGTCCTGAAACCATAAAATATATAGAAGGAAATATAGGTGAAACACTACGTGATTTGCACATCAAAGACATCTTTACAGACACATCACCCAAAGCAGTGATAGTGAAGGCAAAGATAAACAGCTGGGACTACATCAAATTAAAGATCTTCTGCACAGCAAAAGAGACAATAACAAAAACAAAGAGAAACCCCACCAACTGGGAGAACATTTTTGCACCTAACACTAATAATAAAGGACTGATCACAAAAATCTGCAAAGAGCTGATGAGACTCAACAACAACAAAGAAAATAATCCAGTCCAAAAATGGGCAGAAGAGCTAAAAAGAAACTTCTCTGAAGAGGAAATGCAAATGGCCAACAGGCATATGAAAAAATGTTCAACATCACTTGTAATCAGGGAAATGCAAATCAAAACTACCATGAGATACCATCTTACACCAGTGAGAATGGCACATATTAAAAAAACTAGCAACAACAAATGTTGGCGAGGGTGTGGAGGAAAAGGAACTCTCCTGCACTGTTGGTGGGAATGCAAACTGGTCCAACCACTATGGAGAGCTGTGTGGAGATTTCTGGACCTACTAAACATCGAGCTTCCATAGGATCCAGCAATTCCACTCCTAGGTCTTTACCCAAAGGACACAGAAACATCAATTCCAAAGAACACCTGCACCCCTATGTTTATAGCAGCACTGTTTACAATAGCTAAGCTTTGGAAACAGCCCAAATGCCCAAAAATAGATGACTAGATCAAGACGATGTGGTACATATACACCATGGAATATTACTCAGCATTCAAAAAAGATAAACACATGCCATTTGCAGCAACATGGATGGCGCTGGAAGGGATCATGCTCAGCGAAATAAGCCAAAAAGAAAAAGAAAAATGCTGGATGGTCTCACTCATAGCAGGAATCTAGAAAACTTAAATAAGGGACCAGGAAAATGAATAACTACAAGAAAGTAAAAATCAGAATCAACAAAAAACTATGAAACAGAGACACTTTTGGGGGGTGGGGGGGCGGCAGGGGAGGGATTGGGATCAGAATGGGGGGGTTGCAATTGTATGGGGAATATAAAAATAAAATTTATTATTTAAAAAATAAATAAATAAATAAATAAATCCAATGGAGAAAAGCAAAAAAATAAATAAAAAATAAAAATCTGACAATAAAAAAAAAAAACCTTCCCTGTTTACTATAAAAGTGCTAAGGACATTGTTTATGACATGCCTCAGTGCTTAGTATATTGACACCTTGAGTGAGTCTCTTTTAATCTAGAGCTAAATAAATCTTCCCCTGAAGAACTGAGTTACTTTCTCTTCTCTAATTAAGACAATTTTTCATTGGTTATGACCAACAGTCAAATCAAAGCGCAGTCCTAGTATGGATGGCATATTTGTATTTTCCTTTTACCTTGGTTCTGGTTTTCTATTTATAGTTTGTCATCTAATCTGAACTATTTGTGATATAAATTAATTTTTACATTGAGATGGAGCATAAATATTTTTTACTCAGAAAGGCATACTATTTTTGATGATTAATAAAACACATAATCCTTTCACTTTCCCAAACTGCCAAATCTTACTCCAAATCTCCTTTTTCCATTACCTTATGAGTTATACTGACTAAACTTAAATCCAGTTACACAAAACACAAACCAGAATGTCCTCAACATTGCCCAAATAAACTGGAAGTTTCATACAGACGTATGAAAGGATAGCTTGAATACAATAAATGTAAATACCAAATATAAAGGAACAGTACCCAATAGTTGGAGTAATCCAAAGATAGGAAAAGACTGCCTGATTCTCAGGAGTTTGCTCTGTATGAGATGCTCATTAGCTTTGTGATAGAGGTAAAGGGCCCAGACACATGTTTCCATGCCTCTCACCAGCAACACTGTGCTGTATCCTCGCCTCTGGCCATCTCAGTGTTAGACAATGTCACTGAATTATATTGCCAATGCTCAGGGGCAGGAAACTTGATGCCTAAGTCTCTCTTTTATCCCTTCCCTATCTCCAAATTGAAGGTCAGCATTAGTCTCATCGGCTGTTGGCTGTCAGTCCAGGTCACCATGGAAGAATATCTACTCTGTCTGTAGCCTTGGTCTGGTGGGTGACTGTTTTCTGGTCCTCACCCATTACATTGATTAGCAAGAAGATATCTTCAGAGAACAAAGAGTATCTACATCAGCATCTCTTTTTGTGTAAAGAAAGCTTGGGAAGTTACAAAGTATATATATACATTAAAATTGGCACATGGGCTCACCTCAATGTCAGAATCAGCAGCAAGTCAGAAACCTAATACTGACCCCAGCTGCTTTACAAGAAGGCCCTAGTAATCATCTAGTATGAGCTAGTAATCATCTAGACATCATCTAGTATAACCGTTGGAATAATTTGTAATCGGTTTTCACACATTGCTGAGTCATATACAGTACCCATTTCTCTCTTATTTTAGGGGATTTACTTAGTTAGCAAACATTGTTTCTCATCAGCATCTTTTCTGAGGTTTTGAATGAATTTGCAAAATCTCAGGGAAGAAATTTCAGAGGACTTGAATCATTTAAGGAATCACACAGAGCAATGCCATATAAAGTCATGGAATAGAGAGTCACTAAACAACAAGTTGCTTTAATTCTGAGGGTGGAAACTGTGTAGTGATTCATTCAGACCATAAAGGGTTCTAGTGTCTGATATCCACCATATGCACTCAGAATTCAAATTGCCAACCTGTTGGAGATGAAGAGTGGGAAAAAGAGGAAAAGATAAATTTGGGGCTAAAAAAAAAAAACAATGAAAGGGGGGCTCTTATCCTCAATATCCTGCAGGCACTGCTGAGGCATCGCTTCTTATCAATTGTTCTAGATGTGCAGGAATTCCCTCTGGTAGGTACAGCAGCTAAGCCTGCTGTATGGGAATAATTACAGAAAAGTCTTTTTTGAAATGCGGTGTGTTACAAGTAGCAATCACCTTTGGGATTAGAGCTACTTCTAAAACTATTAAGTAAATCATGTGCAACATTAAAGACAGCATCTGCATGTAACACAATGACACATTAAACTTTTTGTTTTAACCTGAGGCTCCTTCCTTATGAAGGAGGAAGCCCAACACCCATGGAGCTGTTCTGAGGGTGGACAGGGTCACCCACACGCCTCCCTCCCCCTGGAGTTGAGGGGGTTTACGGTATAGCCTCATTTGACAATCTCTGACTCGGACAAAAATAAGGAGGCCAAAATCCCTGATCCTTGTCCATATTTGTATGATCTTAACACAGGTTCCTTGTCGCTTTTGGACCTTAGGATTTTCAACTATGGAGTAGGAATAATATCTCTATAGTGCCATCAATGAGATCACATAACTTAAGTAATGAACTTGTTGCACAGGGTCAGGTCATGTCCAGCAGGTGCTCAACAAACATTGATTTCTTTCTCCCACCCTGAAGAGTTCAAAGCAAGCATAAAAGGTTTTACAACGGAGGAGGTAATATCAGTTTAACAGATTCTAACTATTAAAAAGTAAGTAGATTGTCCACAAAATGTCCACTTCCCAGGTGAATAAGTGATTGTGGATTATTCACTCTCTAAAATGGGAGGGATCCTCTTAGTGCCAGGCATCAGTAGAGAAAAGATCTCAAGAGCTTAGAAAAGGGCCCTTCAGTGTCTCAGATGATTCCCCATGTAGAAACTTTCCGTCCCCATTGGGGATAGCAGCAAGCTGACCCTGCTGTGGGAATCTCGGGTGTGTCCTTTAGCCACAGAGCGACGGTCACAGGTTTCAGTATAGTGAATCAGTGACTACAACCCCATTTTTGAAAACCAAACATTGTAGCCAGAGTGTGGCAGCCGTGTGGCTCTTGGTCATTCAAGGCTCAGGAAAGTCTGGATTCTATTCAAAGAGAGTCTAAAGTTGCCTCCTGAGGCAGTTTCCAGGTGTCAAAGGTCCCTCTTTCAGTCTCTCAATGGCCACATCAGCTGCACAACAGTAAGTGACACCTCAGCCCTCAGATGTGGGCCCAGAACCAGCATGGGCAGCCTCTCAGACCCCATGGGATATGCAGAGCCCCAGGCACCATGCAACCCACTGGGTCAGAACCTGCACCTCGGGGAGACTGGGTCACAGCTCTGCCCTCCTGCCTGCTAGATCTGGGGAAGGGAAGGTGATGTCAGCCCCAGAAAAGTTTACAATATGTTCCCCAAATTATAAATCTACAGAAATAAAACACACAGATCAATGGAACAGAGTGGAGAACCCAGAAAACCCACCCTGGGGGGATCCTCCTAGTGTAGCAGGGCGGAACCAGGAGCAAACACGGGGGACACACTTTCATTCAGGGGCGCTGGGCACCCACAGGGTCACACTCAGGAATGACCTGACCCCCATGTTCCTGCAGGACACAAAATGACCCGCGCAGAGCTCTCCACAGCCAGCCCGCCCAGCCCTGGGTCCCCTGACTCACCGCTCTGCAGTCAGCCACCTGCAGGGACTTGTCCTCACCTTCCCCTCGCTTTGGGGTGGTTCCTGAAGAAACCAGGTTCCCCTAGGCAAGAACTTCACCCTGAGTCCTGGGAAGCAAGTGCCAAGGTGAGCCCAGCAGCTGAACAGGCAGGAGCCACGCGTAGGCGAGGGGCTGCAGGGGCGGGGAGCAGGGCTGCAGGTGCAGGGCCAGGAGCGGCAGCAGGCGCGTGGGGTGGGGCTGCAGGTGGTTGGAGCAGGGCGGCAGGGGCGGGGAGCAGGGCTGTGGGTGCGGGGGTACAGGGTGGGGATGTGGGGGCAGAGGCCAGCGGAAAAGCCCCGGGTGCTCACGGGCCCGCGGCCGCCGGTCCTGCTGCAGCCGAAGTTTAGAAAATCAAACTGAAATGCAGACGAATCTCCCACATCCCTGAAAATACTACTAACCCAAAATGTCCACGAGTCATTACAACAGCAAATCGTGTCCATGTGCTTTAAAGACCTGCGACCACAGAGGGCCCCCAAAGCCCGCTGCTCACCCCACAGTGAGAGAAGGGGCATCCCGCTCCACCTGCCCGGCCTTTCCGGCCACAGCGCCTCCTCACGATTCCCCGCGAGGCCGCACTTCCCCGCCTCGCCACCAGGCGGCGCGCGCGCCCCTCACCCCTGCGCGCTGCCCCGGGGCTTCTCCTTCCTCGGCCCGCGGGCCCGCTCCGCCGGGGCGGGCGCTCCCGGCTTTCGCGTCTCCGCCAGGTCAGCGTGCAGTGCCCTGACGTCAACACGCAGGGGGCGGGGCGAGGCCGAGGAAGGAGAGGCTCGCGGGGGAAACCAGGGCTGGAGCAGCGGCGCACGCCGCCTGGTGGCGCGGAGGGGCGGTGCGGCCGAGGCGGGGTAATGGTGAGCGGAGGCTCCAGGGCAGGCGGGAGGCGCGGGAGGGGGGTTGGGCAGAGCCGCGGCCAAGGGGCGGGTCGGCCGGGCGAGGGGGAGATGCAGCTGCGGAGAGTGGGGTGGGGGAAAGGCCTCGCAGAGGGGGAGCAGGAAGCAGGAGTGTGTGCCGGTGTGACGTCAGAGCCTTGAAGATGGGGAGACAGAATGACATGGAGGTAAGAACCCGCTGAAATCGGGATTCTCGCTCTTTCGGAGAAGAGAACAAATTGGTATCACCCTTCTGCTGGGGAAATTTGAATTTAGATATCAGAATCTGGAATATTATCTATATGTGTATGTATTAAAAGAAATAGTCATTCAATAGTAATCCCCAATAGTAATTGGGAAATGACCTAAGGAAATGATTTTGTCAGGGGGAAAGGATGTCCTGAGCTAATTCCATGCAGGCTTTGTGGACTCCACCCCCACTAAGACCAAAGCCATCAAGACATTGGGAAAGGCGAATCCCGTCACCACCAAAGGGAAGGTGGCTGGGACCTGAGGGTGGAGTTAAGCAGCCAGGTTGGGTATCAAAACCAAACACGTGGGCCTTGGGGTGCTCGCTCCCTCTCCTCCTGGCTTCATGGCTCCTGGCTTGCGGCCAGCACTCACAGTGCCATTTGGGATTCCAGATCCGCGGATCGGGTAGGACACATTTAAAACTTTGTCTCCTACTTTTCTCCCTGAGTTGTACATTTCCTCATTTGCCCTTCCCTTGTAAATAAACCTTTTATTAAACTTTCGTTTGTACCTGCAGTAGCGTATTGATAAATCCTTTTAAGCGTGTGGGTGAGGACCCACAGTCAGGCACCCTGTTTTGTATCGGGGCTTCCCTGTAACAGTTTGAACACAAATAAAAATCTTTATTTGTAAAATGCTAACCAGCATTTTCTTATACTAACAAATACTTGGGAACACTCTAAATCAAAACTCCAGGAATCACTAAAATACATTACACTATATACATAAAGCAAATGTAGAAATTAGGTACAATAATTCTGAATAGTTTTCAATAACTTGAAAAACATGTATGTTATAATGTTAAATAAAGGAATAAAGATATAAAATTGTAGGTATAGTGTTGTTTCAGATATAAAATAAACATAATATGATTTATTCAAATCTTAAATACCAGACAAAATTAAAATTGTGTCTTAAGTATGCATTTATTGATACACACTTAGGTGATGAATTGTCATGAAGGGCAAGGAAAATAATTATAATGACTGACACACATTCATGAGGAAGATTAGTGAGGAAGATTATGATATAGTGTGGTTGTACATTTCCTCACTCAGCTAATGCGAGTTCATTTTGTAATTCTACAATTTCACGTTTATAGTCTCTGCCCATACACATGGGTCTTATAGTTCACAGTTCAAAATACTGAAAATTATGAGGAAAAAAGTAAGCTAACACACAAAACTATCTCTTTTAAAAAGATTTATTTATTTATGCATACAAATACTGGGGTGTAGGCCAAAGGTACAGCGTGTAAGAGGACTCACCAGACACAGAGTGGGGAGTACAACAGATAGATCCACTGAAATCCACTGCTGAGGGGAGCAGCAGGGAGACAGAAGAGGTCAGCTCTGCCTTGGGAGTCAACTCCCTGGCCAGGGATCAAACTCAGGTCACAGTGGTTGGCAATAGCTTGACAGTGCTGAGATTTTAACCCCTGTACCACCAGGCAAGCACTAAAAGTATTTCTCTTTTGATGAAAAAATCACAGTTCACTGTTCCTCATTGTATTTTATTCTAATGTTCATATTTTCCACAATGTACACAACTCCTTTTCAGTTTCAGAACCAGCCAACCAAAGCTAATTAAAAAATTAGTGCAATCAGTGGTTCAATTAGCCCCCTGTTCCTTGGCAGATGAAAAGTAACCATAGAATATTTTTTAAAACCAGTCTTAAGAATTCTGTTGTGGGCCTCCCTGGTGGTGCAAGGGGTTAGCATGCAGCCTGTGGAGCTGTCTGCAGCCACTCAGCATGAGTTTAATCCCCAGCCAGGGAGCTACCCATGTGGCACAACAGACCTCTCCTGGTTCCCCACTGCTCCCCGAAGCAGTGCATTTCAGTCAATCTGCCTGTTCTGTTCCCCATTCTGTCTCTGGTGAATCCTCTCACCCCCCCCCAACACACACACACTACTGGCCTGTACCCCAGATCTTGTATGCATAAATAAATAAACCTTTAAAAAAGCATTCTGTTGTGGTTATGTAGCGGGGTGGTGCCCAGGAAAAGGGGGAGTTACAGGTCTTGCCTCACCCAAGGGAGGGTGGAGCTGAGCAGTGAGGACAAAAGCTGGACAGGAGACTGGAGAAGGAAGGAAGCAGTATGGAGAGCAAGATGGAGACCTGGAGGAGACACATGGAGCAAGGAGACATGTGAAGAAACTGTGCTTGCCTTTTGGTCGTGGACTGGGTGAAACAGATGTGGGTGAGAGACCCGTGGGGAGGTGACAATGGCGGTTTTTGTCTTGATTTTGATTTTGTTCTTTTCCTCCCAGACTTGTCTGGCTATTTCTGACCCTTTCCTATGGGTCCCCCTGGAAGGTGCTTTGTGGCAGCTTTTGGGCCTTGCTCTGGGCCAATCCCATTTGGCTGGACTTTTGCCCAGAGGGGATGGGTAACTTTGGGTGATTAATTTAGAAATTATATTCTTTGTCTTTTCTGTATTGTTTACTAATTGTATTAAAGTTCCTTTCCATTAAAGGTGTTATGTTTTGTCTTGATGTGGAAGATGGCAGAACCTATTTAGAGCAGGCAGATTTGGGGGTTCTGGGGTGCCCCTCTCCCTGCCCTGTAACAGTTATAAAAAATTTAAGGGTGAAAATATGGCATTCCTGATAGTAAAGCAGGGGTGGACAGAGCAGCTGCATGTCAGTTAATGTCAAGCTCACCTCGTTTTTGTTTGTGTTTTGTTTCCTGTTTTATTACTGAGGGGTGATGGATTATTGGAATAGAAAGATTTAGAAAGGAAGATACTGTAAGGACAATTTATAAATCTTTATTAACCCAACTATGGAAGGTTCCAGCAATCTAAGGTGGGGTCAGAAAAGATGATCAGCCAGAGGTGGGAGCAGAGAGGATTATCAAACTTAGAAGACCAATCCATTCTGACACCAAGGCAATAATTTCCACAATAATTCCATCAAGGGACCTTATGAAAGAACGCCCTGTACCCTGGTAAAATGCGGCTTTTTTTTTTCTTTCAGAAGCCTGTGTCTATGCAGACGTCTCTCTTTGCTGTTCTCTTTTCCTCAATAAACATGATGCGTGCTAATGAAAAGGAACATTACTCAATTATTTGTCAGAGGGATCCAAGAAGCACCCCTATACTGAGCCCTATCACCTGAATTCCATCAAGGGGTTTTCAATTTTTAGTTTGAACTGAGGCCCCTACTCATTTGTTGGTCCAAATGAACACATTTTACCCTTTTTCAATTTTTAAAATATTTATTGTGCTTAGTCAACAAGCTTCATATAGTTATAGGTAAAAATAAAAAAAGATGGTGAAAATAATAAGGCACTAATTCAAAGTTCAGACCCTTCCAGCTTTCGATACAAGATGTCTGGAGCCTCTCTCATGGCGCAAGGGGGTAAGTCTCAGCACTATCAAGCTACTGGCAGCCACTGTGGCATGAGTTCCATGCCCAGCCTGGGAGCTGGCCCACATTGTGCAGTAGACCTCTCCAGTCTTGCCCACTGCTAACCTCAGCAGAGTATCTCTGCATCTATGGCCTACAACCCCATCTTGTATGCATAAATAAATAAAAATTTTACAAAAAAAAACAAGTACAAGAGACCTGAAACTTGCACAAAATTATGGGAAGAAAAAGACAAAATTTTGAATGGAGCAATGACATTTCATAAAACATCATTTGAAATAACTAATAAAACCTTCCTGTGACTAGTTCATTGCTTTTAGAAAAAGAAATATAGAACATAATAGAATGAAATTCCTGTGTTCCAAGTCAACTTGTCATAGATCAATATAAATCTAGTGTCCTACTGTAACAGGGTGGTCCCCAGGAAAGGGGGAGTTTCCAGGTTTCCTGTCCCACCCAAAGGAGGGTGGAGCTGAGCAGGGAGTAAAGAAGCTGCACAGGAGACTGAGGAAAGAAGGAAGCAGGATGGAGCCAGAAGACCTGGAGGAGGCACAGGGAGCTGAGAGA